TATGACCAAATGACAAGTTCATCTCCATTTGGCAAACATATCCATTCCTTGTTTTTGTCTTCCCCACAAAAGAGTGAGATTCCTCTTGCACAAGATCAATTAGCAACCATCCCAAACACCTTTCCTCTTCTTAGGGTGTTGAATATTGAATACATCAAGTTTAACGACGGCTTGTTGCCAAAGGAGGTTTATAGGTTATATCTTCTCAAGTATATTGCTATCTCAGGAAATCTCAACCTCCTCCCAAAATCATTCAAAAATCTGGTTGAATTGGAGACTTTAGTGATCAAAACCACAGCAAGGACACTACAAATTGAAGGAGGGATATGGAACATGGAAAAGTTAAGGCATGTATGCACCAACACCTCAGTGCAATTACCCTTTCCTCCCAAAACTAACTCTGGAGGAAAAAATATCCGCACACTTTCCACAATATCGCCCACAAGTTGCACAAAAGAGATGTTTGGTAGAACCCCCAACCTCCAAAAATTGGGCATTCGTGGAAATTTATCAGAATTTCTAGAGGAAAGAGATTTATCAGAACTTCTAGAGGAAAAGAAAGTATCAAAATTTGTAGAGGAAAGCGATTTACCAGAATTCATAGATGAAAATACTTTTTTAGAATTTGTAGAGGAAAGAGATTTATCAGAAGTTGTTGAGGAAAAGCAAAATATTTGGTTATTCAATAATCTTCGAATGTTGAAGTGCCTTGAAAACTTGAAGCTCTATGGGCAGTATGATAAAGTGTTCAGTGTTCCCAAGATGGACAAGTTTGGATGTAGGTTAAAAAAGTTGAGTTTCTCCGGCACACTATTTGAGTGGAAAGACATGAGAGTATTGGGACTGTTGGAGGAGCTTGAGGTGCTAAAGTTGGATGACTATGCATTCAAGGGGGAGATTTGGGAACTAAGCAATGATGTTGTTTTCAAACAGCTTCAATATTTACGCATTGGAAGGACGAACCTAATAACTTGGAAGGTCACTAGTGAGAATAGCTTTCCTACTTTACGAAGTCTAGTCCTTCAAAATTGTAACGTTATAGAAAGAGTTCCAGAAGCATTTGCTAACGTATCTACCCTTAAAGTGATGGAATTGTTTCACGTGAGTGAAACTGCAGTTAACTCCGCAAAACAGCTCAGTGGAAAGCTCAAAATCGGTGGATTCCAGCTCATCATAACCTCTCTTCCCTCACAACCACAGGTAATTATTAATTAATTGTGTATCTTCTCCATTTCCATGCATTCATTCTTCAAAAAGGTTGAACCCTAACCCGACAGAACATTTGGGAGGATGTAAATCATGGTAACTCAACTGAACATGAATCACAAAAGACTAGACCTTTGCTCACTGCGCACAAAGAACCCTAGACTCAATCCCTGATCATTCTTCCAAACTTTCACATCTATGACCAGTTGAGCTGCCGGGTGATTTCCAGCATTCATTATTATATATAATACGCCATAAAACAATTAATATATGTATGCAATCAATACTAATTTAATTGGATCCAGTAAAAGAAAGTGAAAATCATTTTTGAACTTTTAAATTGGTGGGTACATTACTTTTTTTTAAACTACAAAATTACTGTATGACTTGATTCTTAATTCTTCATAGAGAGAGGGACCATTGACGGCAGCCATGGACATAGTTGTAGCGCAAGAGTTGAGCATGGCGGTAAACAGGCTGGTTGATGATGTAGCATGGTGGAGTAGTGAGCATCATGGCCTAGATTCGGGGCTTGAGGATCTGATCTTCGACATTGAAATGTTTAACGCCAGGCTCGTGGAAGCTTACAACAACCCTTATGCATCTGTCAATGTTTTGATAGTGAAAAACTTCCGAACTGTTGTGGATGAAGCCCAGGATGCGTTTAACAACTACTATGACCTGTGGGAGGAGCATGAAGACAAAGCATTCACAAATTTTTTGGTACCATGCTATAGAAGAGAGGTCAAATCCTGTGAGACTGAGATCCAGTCTGTTAGGACAAAGATGAAGAAGATTTATCAGGAACACGAAAAGGAACTTGAAACCCTCACCAACTACAAAAACAATGTTCTGCTAGCTCTTCAGGTACCACAAATTTAAAACTATTCTTAAACTATCATATATATCCTACGGTTACAACAATGAACTACATCAAGCTAGCCACAAACTGTTAGCTTTTCACAAGTTTCACTAATATTTTCTACTCTACTCTAGTTTCTACTTCCCCAAGTAGTCTATCTCCTGGCTTTGATACACCCAAATTAAAGGTTGTTCTTCAACTTTAAACTTTGGTTTGAAGTTTGATCTTGATTTTGCATTGGAGCTTTGTAGATTCTTTGAAGCTTTTCTTGATGTTTTTTGTTAGAACTTTAAAACTTTTCAGCTTAATCTTGTTCTTGTTCATAATCTTAGTTGTTCTTTTCAATATTCTTGAAATTCTTGAACTCTATTTAGGCTCAACTTACCCCTGCAAGTGTACCCATTTGCAATCTTATTTGGCATGCCACATGGAATTATTTTTTATTTTTATATTTTTTTTGTTATATGATGTGTAATACAAACTTGCATCTTTTGCAAGTTTGCAAAGTACAAAGAGGCAGCCTTCTTTGTACTTTAGTATTGCAAGGCAGCATGGCTGCCTGCAAATCTGTACTTTTATTTAGTTTTTTTTTTAATTTTTTTTATTTTTATATATATAATATAAAATAGAAGTGGGATTCATTTTTGAGAGTGAGAGAGATTTGTAGGGATGTAGTGTGAATAGGAGATGATTTGCAAATAAGATGATGTGGAAGTGGGATCCATTTTTGAGAGTGGGAGATGTTTGCAGGGATAAAGACAGTTATACTTGAATTGAGACTTTGAGACTTGAAAATCTCTGAACATTTTCAAAATTTCATTTTGACTCTTTGGATATTAAGACAAAGGCTTGTTCAAACTTGTTATGGCACTTGATAGCTAGATAGCTGTCAGTCAGTCTCAACTTGTACTTACCATATCTTGTAAAATCTACCTTGGATCTGTGTTAATAATATTCATATGTAGTAGTGAGAAGTTTTTTTTTTGTTTTTTTTTTTTAAGAATGTTTTGCTGTCATATATAGGATATACAACATTATGTCCTTAAGAATCCTACGAAAAGATTATTTCCGAATAGTAACAAGCACAGGATATGAAAAGCAAGTGGTTAGTACGAGTCGACCAAAACATTCTTTCCACGATTCTACTCCGAAAGCTTGTTTTGGATTTGATTTGCGCCACCCTCTATGCGAGAGAGCCTCTATGCTATACGATTAAAATCCCTTTAAAAAGGCCTCATATATATATAGGGTGCAAATCCCATTCTTTTTTCAATGTGAGACATATGCTACTTATTATAAGTTTTTTCACCTTGTTTTCCAATTCAAATAGGTCTATTTTGAAAATCAATTTCTTATTCAACTATTATCCGTTTTGAGCATACAATATATTGATATCTTCATCACACTATGAAGAACCTGAATCCACTTGTCATGATTCCAATGGTAAATTTGATGTAATTGAGCTCATCAGTGGCGTCATCATCAAGGGGTTGGCAGCGTGGCTCTTAATCGGAATTTAGCTATTCTGTTATGAAATTTTGTTATTTTCTTGTTAGGTTGTTTCCTTTAAATTTTCAGAGGATACTCAATAGGAATTATGTAGATTTTGAATGAAATTCTCAATGTTTACTCTCTATTTCTTATACAATTTCTCCCTAATCTTCTCTGAAATTTTCCCTGCTTTCTCTGAAATTCTTCCCTTTTCTTCTGCCGTCTCCCTTTCTCCATTTTCTTTTCCTTGCCTAATCCTCCAGGACTATACACCACTTTAACTCGACCCAAATCCTCACATATATTTGTACCAAAGAATAGTCACTTACAATGTCATTTTTACTATTTTTTCTAACATTTACTTCATCGGCTTCTTGCATCTTATCTCTCTTCTGTGTAACTTTTTGTAATACTATTTTTTTGGTTGTTGTTGTCTTCTTCATCTATCTACTAAACATCTTTCCGTTCAATCATCAATCTACCTATTTCATCTCCTTGTTTGGCATCTTTTTTCCATAGGCATCTTTTTTGTTTGTCAGATCAACTTTCTAATATTCATTAGAATTTCTTCTAAGACATTCTTTTGTAGTTCCATTCTTCTGCTCAAATATAATCTTCCTATTACTTTCCATCTTCCTGTCTTCTTTCTACATGATGTCTTAGTCTTACAGATTTAATGCATTTTCTTGATTTTGTGGATTATCTTTTTGCTCTAAACAATCCTAAAAGAAAAATTACACTTTTTGTCCCTAAGTTATAGGGTAATTGTAGAATTCGTCCATGAGTATTGGTCATGCTCACTTTTCGTCCCTAAATTATCATTGGTGTTGCACTTTTCGTCCCTGAGTTATAGAGTATTTGTAGAATTTGTTCATGGGTGTTTGTCACGCCCACTTTTCATTCCTAAGTTATTATTGGTATTGCACTTTTCGTCCTTGAGTTATATTAAAAATTGCAAATTTCGTGCCTAATCACTACTACAAAATTATCTTGTACTTAATAAATTTAACTTCAAACCCTTTTTTCCTCAAAAATAAAAAATAAAAAAAATTCAAACCTTTTGCAAAGGATACATCTTCAGTTTTGAGTCCATTTTTTAATAATGTGGCAATTCCTTTGGTTTGATCTTGATCATGTTTTTTGTTAGCTCCAAAATTACCTTTGGTCTCTTGATAGCTTTATTGTTGATTAGAAATGCTTTGTTTCCTATATTGTGTCTTGAGTAATCGCTATCGAAATACCAAATACCCTGCAAACAAATGATGACTAGCATCATGAAAATTTATTAACAATTATTCCTAACAATAAATGTATATAAGTATAGCTCGGGGTTATACTAATTTATATAGTTTATTATATATATGATTTGAGCATGTGCACCCCTTGTATACTCTACCCTACATGTCTTGAATTTTCTATTTCTTCACAGATGAAGAGACCGATAGTCTTTGACAGAGTGATAGTGGGAGGTGTAAAGCAGGCAATTACAACCAGTATGAGGTAAAGGACATGACCTCACACATCAAAACGTTTACCGAGAAACTGGTGGAAGCTTGCAAGAATCCGAAGGCCAATGAAGACCGTGTTTTGAGATTAATATTGATAAAATTTCGAACACTTGTGAATGAAGCCAATGATGCGGTTGCCACCTACTTTGCACTGGAGAAGAATAATGGAGAGAATGTCTGGGCAATATCTTTCGATAAGATTCTATTTCGTGGAAAGCTCAATATGTATGCCACTGAGATTCAATCTATTAGCGCAAAGGTGAAGACGATTGGCAAAGACCATGGAAAAGATCTCACATACCTCCTGGAGTACAAACCGCCCCCCGCCAAGGTACCGCAAAAACTATATATACATATATATATATATATATATATATATATATATATATATATATATATATATATATATATATGAATTAAGTTTCCGTGCATTTAAGTGCTTCCCGTGCGGTTGTGCGATTTTAACGTGTGTCAGTTTGGTACTTCAGGTGCGTGAGTTTTATGCTTAAGGTGCGTGAATTTTGTGTTTAAAGTGTGGAGAGGGGGAACTACGTGGGAAAGGAATTGTAATTCCATGGGAGATGAATTACTGGAATAAAGTGGGAATTTAAATTCCAGTGTTTGGTTCACATAAATAGAATTACTGGGAATTTCAATTCCAATGTTTGATATACATGGGAATTGAAAGGGAATAAGTAGCATAAAGTCAAAAATGTCCATTGTTGTTGTTAGACATTAATTTTAACTTACAAAAGGAAATTGTAATTTTGACTCATCACTATTTTTTTTTCTTCCTAAAATCCCAGAAATTAAAATTCCAGGGGGGGACATGAGATTTTAATTCCATAAAAATAGGGGAATTGCAATTCCATGCGTGAGTTTCGTTGAGTTTTGTGCTTAATATGAGTAGTTGTTGAAACTTAAAAGGTGCGTGTGTTTTGTGCTTAAGGTGTGTGAGGCTTGTGCTTAACATGCGTGAGTTTTGTACTTAACGCGCGTGAGTTTGTGTTTTGAAGGTGTTTTGTTTGTGTGCTTAATATGCATGTGTTGTGTACTTAAAATGCATTAGTTAATGCTTAATGTGCGTCCAACCGCACGGAAAACCCCCTCCCGCACCTGATCCCTTCCCCCCCACACACACACACACACACACACACACACACACACACACACATATATATATATATATATATATATATATATATATATATGGAAGGGTTCAGGTGCAGGTGATGCTTCCCGTGCAATTGTGCGGTTGGACGCACCTTAAGTCCACAAACAAAACACCTTAAGAACACAAATCACTCATCTTAAGTACAAAAACTAGGCACATTAAGCAAAGAACAAAGCACATTGAGCACAAAATTCACACACTTAAGATTTTAAAATGTCTCACATTAAGCACAAACTCATGCACATTAAATACAAAATCCACGCACATTAAGCACAAACCTCACGCACATTAAGCATTAAACAGACGCACTTTAAGTATTAACTCACAGACTTTAAGTTTCAACAACTACTAACATTAATCACTAACCCCACACACATTAAGCACAAATCCCACGCACATTAAGCACAAACTTCACTCACCTTAAGAACAAATCTCACGCACCTTAAGCACAAAAGCCCACACACTTTAAGTTTTAACAACTATTCACATTAAGCACAAACGCACGCACATTAAGCACAAAACTCACGCACATTACGCACAAGACTCACTCACATTTATCACAAAACCACTCACCTTAATTTTGACCTAGATACAAAAATTACAAAATTGCCACCGCGTTTTTTTTTTAATTTTGATAATCTTGGACGTTGATTAAAGCAAGATGAATAGCTCAGATTAAATCGCACAACCACACGAGAACCGATTTATATATATATATATATATATATATATATATATATATATATATATATATATTGTCAAATGATCATATTTCAAATTGTTTATTTCAATAATTACAATAATGCATGATTATCATATTCACTTACATCGATATTGGAATTTATGTCTAGGCTACTCAGATTATGCTTTTAAACATTTAATTTTATAATGAACCTTAGCTTGCTCGTTAAAAATGATACTCCATATACTAATTTAAATAATGAGTTAATTCCATCAATGATACTCGGACTATATTAATTTTTCAAAATTAGTCTCCGACTTTTAATTTGGACACTTTACGTCTCTTGATTTTCAATTTCTTTCCAATTGAGGTCCTTTCATCAGTTTACGGTAAATTAAACTTTAAATGAAAGGGTAAAGTAGTCATTTCATCTGCCTAAAATATAATTCTTCGTATTTCTCCCTTATATACGCGACTTCGGATATCAGATTCACTTAATTGCTTAATCCCTAAATCAACTCGAAGAACAAAATTCCATTAGGGATTAAGCAATTAATTGAACCTGATGTTCGAAGTCGCGTATACAAGGAAGAAATACGAGGAATTATATATTAGGCAGATGAAATAACTACTTTATCCTTTCATTTAAAGTACATTTTACCGTAATCTAACGAAAAGACCTCAATTAGAAAGAAATTGAAAGTCAAGGGATATAAAGTGTCCAAATTAAAAGTCAGAAATTAATTTTGAAAAATGAATATAGTCGGACCAATGCTGGAATTAACTCTTTAAATAATTTACTGCATGTACTAAATTTAGATTCTTGTTTAAATTTATATGTTCTGAAGTTTTCTATCTAGAAGGGATGAAAAACTTTTCATTTGGAAGCTCCAAATTAAAAATTTAGGTGGCAAAGGAAAGTTCTAACTTTTCTACCATTTAAAAAAAAAAAAAAAAGCAATAAAGTTATTTACGTATATTTATACTTTGGCTTGGATAATTTATGATCAAGGGGAGGGTTCCTATGACATCGATGAGAACTATAAATGTACAGATTACAAGTATATATAAAGGGAGAGTCTCAAAAAGACTGGGATAGAGAGTCATAATTTAACTCAAATACATAGAGTCTTAATACTCTCCCTCAAACACAAGGTACAGTAGTAATTGGTAGCTTGTCTTTAGGAAAAGCAAATCTAGGACCAGGTAGAGCTTTTAATGAAGATATCTGCGAGTTGATTTTTAGTTGAAATAAAATTAACCTGGATATCTTCATTTGCAACTATGTCTCTAACAAATTGATAATCAATTTTCACATGTTTAGTGCCAGTATGAAAAATGGGATTTACACACATGTATGTAGCACTAAGATTATCACACACAGCTTGTAAATAGACACACTAGTCACGCCAATTTCACGCAACAGAGAGAGAATCCAAAGTACCTCAGCACAGACATAAGCTAGAGCTTTATATTCGGCCTCAGTAGAAGAACTAGCAATAGTTCTTTGCTTCTTATATACCCATGATATAAGATTGGATCCAAGAATAATAGCACAACCACTAGTTGACTTACAATTCTCAGGACAACCAGCCTAATCAGAACCAGAAAAAGCATATGTTGCCTTGACATACCTCAATACACGTTTTAATTGCTCCTAATGAGAGACCGTAAGAGCATGCATATGTTGACAGAGTTGATTGACCGCAAATGACAGATCTAGACGTGTAATTGTAAGATACTTGCTGGTTTTATTGGGACCGGGGCCACCATAAACCGAGTATAGGAGATATAAAACGGAATGAAAGAGCTATTATTACCAGTGGGGCGCGAGGCCCACATAAACGCGCACAAGCCCAATGTCACAGGCCCCTAAATAATAGTACAGGAAAGTTATACGGTGAAAAGGGAAATAAACGAATAGACAAAAACCTGAATTACATGCATAATACCATAATCGATCCTTTGACCAATTTGGAGAGGGAGAAGACTCAGACCGCCAAGCTACCAAGTCTTTTGTGTCTCTTCCCCCCTGTCTTAAACTGGCCGTAGCCCCCCCCCCCCCCCCCCCCCCCCCCCTTTTTATACCCTCTCAGGACTTCCGCATACCACCCACGTGTACGACATCTACAGGCCTCCAGCTCCCACCATACACGTGTCCTCCCTTCTCCGCACGTACCCCCAACTACTCGAATGAGACCGATTTTGTCGCGCACTCTCCCGGGATCCTTGTTCCTATACGCACCGCCCTCCGTCAGCTGCCCTTCCGTGCGCAACATGCATGCACTAGTCGCCATTTCACCCACATGCATGCATGTACGTAGCCGCCACCCTGCGCACGCATGCATGCAATAGACGCCATTCCACCCGCATGCATGCATGTACGTAGTCTCCAACAGCGTGCATGCCACCGCCACCCGCACGCGCAGCCACCACCTTGTACGCATGCAACCGCCACCCGTGCGCGCAGCTGCCAGCTTGTACGCATGCAACTGTCATCCGTACACGCAGCCACCACCTTGTACGCATGCAACCGCTACCTTTGCGCTCAGCCGCTACCTTGTACGCATGCAACTGTCATCCATACGCGCACCCACCACCTTGTACGCATGCAACCACCCTGCATACACGCGTGCCTGCATGTTTGCAAGGTCCAAGCGTACGTACAGGCATGCATGCGAGCCCATGGGTGTGAGCTCCCCCTCCTCATCCCTTTGGGCTCACACTCTCTAATCTACATGGGCCAGGCCCATTACATTATTCTCCATCAATACTGTATAGCTCTAGCGAAACTCCTATACTGTGTAGCATCATCATATAAAACTTCATCAAATGTAGTAGGTTTCAAAACAGATATATGAGTAGCTAATGATTTACAGTCTGTCATACCATCACGTTTTAAAATATCTATCATGTACCTTTGTTGAGAAAGCAAAATTCCATCACCACACTTAACATTTGCAATCCCAAGAAAGAAACCAGGTTCACCAAGATCTCTAATCTTGAATTCAGTTGATAATTTTGGTAGTAGAGTACTAACAAGATTCTCATCACTACCCATTATAAGAATATCATCAACATACACAAGAACATAAATGAAGGCTGAATCTTGCAAGTAGTAAAATAAAGATTCATCTATTTTTTAGGCTTTAAACCCGGGTGACATCAGAAATGCATGCAAGAGATTAAACCAAGCTCTAGGAGCCTGTTTTAATCCATATAGAGAACGTTTCAACAGGCAAACATGATTGAGAAACTGTTTCTCAATATACCCAAGTGGCTGCTTCATGTAAACAGTTTCAGATAATTTCCCATTCAAAAAAGCACATCAAGCTGCTTAACAACCCAACCAGAGGATATAACTAAAGATAGAAGTAATCTGGTAGTTGTGGGTTTGACCACTGGGCTGAATGTGTCAAAAGATCATGTCCAGGTACTTGATTAAATCCTTTGGCCACTGACCTTGCTTTGTGTCGTTCAATTGATCCACCAGCTTTCCTTTTTGTGCGAAAAAACCCATTTGCACCCAATAACATTCATATCTAACTATAATGAAACAAGACACCAAGTCTCATTTTGAATAAGTGCATTAAACTCTTTGTCTATTGCCTTGCGCCACTTACCATGTTTTACTGCATGTGTATAACAAGTGGATTTAGTAGGGCAAACCTGAGCAGAAAGAGCCAAAGGTGGAGCTTGAGGATAGCTCTGAGTAGCCATGGTGTGCGACCGGACCGTTGACTTCGTAGACCGCCCCCTCGGCTGGCCTCGGGGACGGGTGGCAACCACTGTTTCAGTGGGTTCAGCGTGCTCGACTTGGACTGGTTCCGGCTGGTCAGTGAGAGCCAGGGCCGGTTTGGGCAGTGTGTGCTGAATCGTAGCAATGGGCGGGACTGGAACAAGCACATATTCTGCCCACGGTTGAAGAACATATTCTGCCCACGGTTGAAGAACATATTCTGCCCACGGTTGATTTGTCTGAACCAGATGTGCTTGCAAAACACTTTTTTTTTTTTTTTTAATAAAGAAAATGAAAATGACATGAATTTAAATTGCTTATAGATTGAAGACTCACTTCAATTTATTGACATGAAAACAACAAAGTACTTAAATTCATAATATTTATTCCAACCAGTTATATTTAGGAAACTTGAAAACTAAAACAATTTTAAAGTTTTAGCTACACTTTAATGAAAAAAAATGTGACTATCAACCTCATCAATGGTTAATAATTATTTAATACAAAATGATGATATAAATGAAAAATAGTTAAGATGTTTCTCAATAATTTAAAATTTTAAAATTTATTATTAATATTAACATAATTTATTAGTGGTGGATTAAAACTATTCCTTTACACATAATTAAAGGGAAAATTTGTGTATGATAATAATTCATAAATTGAATTTACAATATGATTATAATTAATGGACTAAAATCGTTGCCATTGCATTTTCCTTAAACTATTTATTTATTTGTTTATTTGGATTCCAATTCATATATATTTACTATTTAAAAAAAAAAAAAAAAAAAAAAAAAAAAAAAACCGAGACTCCTTACATTCAAGTCAGTACAACCAAGGATATAATTTCAATATGTTTGAAACAAGCTCAGCTCCCCCCTAAAATAACAATAACAACAACAATATGAGTGTCATTCAAAAGATCGAGATTTTTAATGATATATTTTGTATATATTAATTTTATTTATACAAAATAAAAAATAAAAAATAAAAATTAAAGTTTACAAAACGAATTTAACTTGGTTCAACTTTCAAGGTGAATTCCTTAATTTTGTTATTAGAAAATTTCACGATTGACTATTATGGTATTGTCACATTTAGTCATAATCTTTTAATTTTGTCACATTACATCATTAACTTTTATTTATTTGTCACAATTAGTCATGTGTTTTTACTTTTGTCATTTCACTATTTAATTTTATCATTCAAGTCTATTGTCAAACATGCAATTTCTTTCCGTTTTTACTCTTTTAATTGAATGGTTAAATTACATATTAGTCATATTTATGAAATTGTAGAATAATTAATTTTTTAAAAGGAGAACTAATTTTGGAAAATTAGATAAATAAAAATCAATGAAGTAATATGACAAATTAAAAGAGCAGACTAAATGCGACTATACTACATGAATCAATGACTAAAATTGAAATTTGTTCTTTTGTTATGAGTGCGTAAAAACAAGTACTTTGTATTTGTTAATCTTGCAAAAAAAGTTATAATTTTGTTGTTAAGGAGAGTATACATAAGTATATGTAGTCTTTATGCCAATTACCTTATGGTTTGTTAGTATCATTGTTATTATTCCAAACAAAAGGTCACAGGTTTGAGTATGTATACATAAGATTGTAGATTTGTAGTTTAAAAAAAAAATGGATGCCCTTATAAATTCTTTTGATCTAGCTGAATTGAATGTGGAAGTAAGATTTGAACATAAATTTACTGCAAATATAGAAGCTATGGTTTATCTTCAGTGCTCCTTTCAATTCCTTACTATTGTTTCAATAAAAATTAGTTTTTTTTTTTTTTTAATCTTGTGACCTTCTTTTAAAGAGGGTCACAGGCGTGCCATCTAAGCACGTGCTTGACAAACTTAATTAGTTATATTCCTTGAATTGTACTAACGATTGGGAATTGAATTCCCACCACCACTTGATTAATATTACTCTTTAATTTTTCAGGCTGAAAATAACATAGTGGGCTTTAATGATGATTTGAGAACCATAAAAACTCGATTAGTGGAAGAATCCAAAGATTTCTTTGTCATCCCAATTGTGGGGAATGCTGGGTCTGGAAAAACTACATTTGCCTTAAAGATATTTGAAGACTTGGAAATCAAGAAATATTTCACTCATTGCGTTTGGATTCATATTTCACGAGGGTTTCATAGAAAGCAAAAATTCATTGACATTCTACATCAAATTTCCAAGCAAACAGTAGACTTTAGCACGGCTTCAGAAGATGTGTTGGAAGCTAAAATAAAGAAATTATTAGAGGATGAAAGATACTTGATTGTATTGGACAGTGTGCGGGAAAAAGAGGACTGGGATTCTTTAAAAGATGCATTCCCTAAAAATTTGAGAGGGAGTAGAGTCCTGGTAACCACCCGGAACGACAATGCAGTGGATTCCACCTGGAAATCTCATAGTTTAGGAAAGTTAAACAATGATGATGGTTGGTTGCTAATAAAAAAAAATGTTTTTGGTACAGAGGGAAGCCGTGACACAGTATTTGAAGAGGTTGGGAAAAAATTAGCAAAAAAGTGCAATGGATTGCCACATGCTCTAGTATTGCTAACTGGTATCCTACGGAATTGTATAACTTCTGTTGCAGGTTGGCAACGATTGGCTGATAATCCGCTTCTAGACATTAATGGAGAAGGTCAAAGCTACCATGAGCTAGTGGAGTTGAGCTACAATGATTTGGTTGACGAGAATTTGAAAATTTGCTTTTTATATTTTGCATATTTTCCCATGGGACATGAGATTGCTGCTTGGAAGTTAATTCATATGTGGATGGCTGAAGATTTCATTCCAACAAATGATGAGTGGGGATACCCTTTAGACAAAGAAGTGGGAGCTTTAAATTATTTGAATGTTCTTGTGGATAGAAATCTTGTGATGGTGAAAAATAGAAGGGCAGATGGTCAAATCAAAACATGTGTCATTCATGACACATTACATGAGTTCTGTAGAAGTGAAGCTGAAAGGAAAAAGTTATTCCATGTAATGGATGAGGGGCGAAGAATAAATGCAAGAATTATTTTGAATCGTCTTTGTTGCTACTACTACCTTCATTCATCTACTTCATTCTCCAATCTCTTACCCAAAAGGAGGGATCAACTTCAATATGATGATCGATTTGTTAGTTCTTTGTTGTTGTCCTCCTCACAAAAGAGTGATGAGATTCATTCGGTGCCAGTGCTGCAGTTGATAAACATCCTTCAAAACATGAAATATCTTAAGGTGTTGAATATTGAAGCCCTCAAATTTAACTCCCTGCCGATTGAGCTTTATTCCGAAGACAGTCGTATCAGGTACCTTGCTGTCACAGTTGATATCGATTCCCTCCCCAAGGCATTCGAACATCTGTCATATTTGGAGACTCTAGTGATCAAAACCACACAAGAAACCCTACACATTAATGGGGGCATATGGAACATGGAAAATCTAAGGTATGTGCATACTAACACCTCTATGCAATTACCCTCTCCTCCCAAAACAGCCAATTCCAAGCATAGCCTTAAAAAAACAGTTATCCGCACACTTTCTACCATATCACCTGGAAGTTGCACGACCGAAATCTTCAACATGACTCCCGAACTCCAAAAGTTAGGTGTTCGTGGGAATTTATTACAACTTCTTGACAAAACTCAAAAAGTTTGCTTGTTCAACAATCTTCAAATGCTAGAATGCCTCGAAAACTTGAAGCTTCATGGAAACTCTGAGGAAGCATTAAAGGTCCCAATATTGGATAAGTTTCCAAGAAGGCTACGAAAGTTGACCTTGTCCGGGACATTGTTTGAGTGGAGCGACATGACTGTATTGGGATCGCTGGAGCAGCTTGGGGTACTCAAGTTGGATGACAATGCGTTCTCAGGGGACCTTTGGGATCTAAGCAGTGAAGTTATTTTCAAAGGGCTTAAGTATTTGCGCATTGGAAAGACGAACCTCGTAACTTGGATAGCTACGGAGTCCAAGAAAAACTTTCCAGTTCTAGAGATCCTGGTTCTCAAGAATTGTATTTCCCTACAAAATATTCCACATAATCTTGCGAATCTAGACAGCCTTAAAGTGATGGAACTATTTGACGTGAGTCAAAGGGTGGCTGATTTTGCAAGAGAGATTTGTGAGCAAAGGCATGGCAAAACAAATGTCAAAATCAACGTCCATCCTCTTCCATCACAAGCAACGGTAAGTGTCTAACTTCCCTGTTAATTAGGAACTTTTAATAATTTTTTTTTTTCAAAGCAGAGGTTGCAAAGCATATTAATTATTTAGTAGATAAAGAATTACTAGAGAGTTTGCTTAATACTTTTATTTAAAAAGAAAAAAGCTTTTGATATAATTGAAATGATAGAATTGAAGAAAATTTTGAATTTATATTAATCCTTACAAGTACATAACCAAGCGTATGGGGATGAAAATGTCAACACCAGTAGATTTGACCACCCCAGAACCTCAACTTTGTCACAGAAATTGTGAGTATATTGTCATGACCTTTTCAACCATACAACATAATCTTTAGACAGATTTGAGTTCTAAAGTGAGGATAAAATTAATTGTAAATTCTATTAGATTTATGTTTTGATACGATGGTGAGATTATTTGTGTGAATGAGTGAAAGATATGGATAAAAGTAATTTTTTTTTAGAGCAAAATTGTCTCTAAGTTTGTGTGCTTTGAAATTTTATAACATTAATGGTAAGTTTTATTAGGTGGCAAAAGCTTTTGTAAGACCGTCTCACCGTGAGACGGCACGGGTCGGGTCGGTTTGGGTTAAGATGAAACTGTTATACTTATACATACAAATGCCATACTTATATGCTCAAATGTAATACTAATTAGGACAATAATTTTTGTTACTTATAAGGGTAAATATAATACTTTTAAGAGAAAATGTAATACTTTTACATTTTGATTTAAAAGTATTACATTTTTGTTCAAAAGTATTATATTTTCCCTTATAAGTAAGGGACACTTGCCAACATTACTTATTATGGAAAATGTAATACTTTGATGGAAAATATAATACTTTTACATCAAAATGCAAAAGTATTACATTTTCTCTCAAAAGCATTACATTTTCCCTTATAAGTAACAAAAATTTTATTCATGATTAGTATTATATGCAAGTATAACATTTACGCATATAAGTATGACATGACATTTGAATGTTGATTCAACCCGACCCGACCCGTTTCACGAATAAGTATACGTGAGACGGTCTCACACAAGTGTAATCCTTATTAGATTTATGTTCTGTTCTATACCTACTCAAATATTTTTAAGTACAGATTTATACAACGTGAAATTGTAAAGGTGTGCTAAAACTTTATAAATCTGTACTTTAAAAAAAAAAAAAAAAAAAAAAAAAAAAAACTTTCTTTGTAAATTCTATTAGATTTATGTAGATTATTTGAGTGACTGAGTGAAACATATTGCAGCAGAGGTTGCAAAGCTGGTTAATTGTTTACTTGAAAGTTTATTTACTATTTTTATTTATATATATAAAGATAAAAAAAAACCTTTTGATTTAATTAAGTGATAGAAGAAGAATATGAATTAATATTAATTCTTTACAGGTACATAACCAAGCATATGAGAGTTCGAATGAAAATGTCAACACCAATGGATTCGATCATCCCGGCACCTCTATTCCGTCACAAGAAATAGTAAGTATATTATCCCGGCATTTTCTATTACTCCGTTTGGAAAGTGGGAAAATGACTTCTAGAAAATGTTTTTCAGAAAATGACTCATTTTTCAGAAAATATTTTTCTTTCCAGTATTTGGTTGCATTGTGGAAAATATAGGAATGGATGGAAACTAAGAATGGGAGGCAACGATAGCAGCGAAGGCAACCATGTTTTGAGTGTTGGCGGAAAATGACTTACGCCAAATTTTGACATAAGTCATTTTCTGCAAAAATGCCTACATTTTTTCCAGTCAACAAAAAATGTTTTTCGTTACTAGATTTTCCTATTGCATCCAAACACTGAAAACTCGGAAAACATTTTTCAGAAATAATTTTCCGGGTTTCCAAACGGACCTAAATGAAATTATCTCTTTAAGTTTTTTTATGCGTGTTTTGAAAGTTTATTACATTAATTGTAAGTTCTATTATATTTATGTTTTAATGGTGATTTATTTTGAAAGAATAAATGATATATATGTCAATAGAGGTTTCAAAATATATATGTTAATTATTTACTGGATAAAGAATTATTCATGACTAGAAAGTTTGTTTAAGGGAAAATAAGATTTTAGTCCATTAATAATTATAGCTATATTGTAGACTCTAGTCCATGAATTATTATCATACACAAATTTCCCCTTTAATTATATATGTGTAACGTGGCAATTTTAGTTCACCACTAACAAGTTATGTTAATATTAATAATGCATTTTAAATTTTCAAATTATTGAGAGATACCTTGGTTATTTTTTTATTTATATCATTTTGTATTAAATAATTAATCAATCATTAAGTTTGACAAACACCTTTTTTTTTTTTTTTTTTTTTTTTTTTTTTTTTTTGCCATCGGAGTGTAGCTAAAAATTAACATTGCACTTCAAATTTTCAAATTAATAAAAGACATATTAGTCATTTCATAGAGTTTTCTCAAATTCCCTCAACTAAATCTTCATATATAGTGATTCTCTTCATTTGTAACGAAGAATTTCTAGATTTCTAATATTTATAAACATGTATCTACTTATCTTTAGTTTCAAAGTTAAAGTTCAATTTACTAGTCAAAATCACTGTGGTAGAACCGCTACTCTTAGCTTTTTTTTTTTTTTTTTTTTTTTTCTTAGAAAATGCAAATGACATATAAATTGAAAGTGTTTATACTTTATAGATTGAAGACTCGCTCCAACTTATTGACATGAAAATAACAATGTACATAAATTCGTAATATTTAATAAACGTAGAAACCAAAACAATTTTGAATTTTTAGCTACACTCCAATAGTACAAAAAATGTGTCTACCAAACTCAACGATTAATTAATTATGTAATACAAAATGATATAATAAAAAATGACTAAGATGTCCTTTAATAATTTAAAATTTTAAAATGCATTATTAATATTAACATAATTTGTTAGTGGTGGCGGGATTAAAATTGCCACTTTACATATAATTAAAGGAAAAAGTTTGTGTATGGAAATAATTAATGGACCGAGTCTACAATATGAGTATAATTGATAGACTAAAATTACTATTTACCCTTTATTTAATATTAAAAAAATTGTTTTAATTGAAGTGATTTTCACTTTCAATATATTATTCCTATAGGCGCATAAGCAATCACATGGGGTGGAAAATGTCAGCACCAGTGAATTCGACAATCCTAGCACCTCTACTCTGTCACAAGAAATAGTAAGCATATTGATATCCTTTTGCAATTATATATCTTAAAAATAAAGATTATATATAACATAATCTTTTACTCTGATTCGATGTGCTTGTCACTTATTTAAGCGAGACCTTAAAGTTAGTTTCTTATATATAAACCAATATAATTAATTTAAAGGTTTTTCATTTCATGTTAAGATCATCAACATATAAGATATTGAATTAGATTATTTTAAATAGATTATTATATTATTTTTTAAAAACATGGTTGTACATTTCTCTTTTTCAGGTTTCTGATGATTAACTGCTCGGTCAGCGATGTGAATTGCTTTCTTGAAACAAAAGGATTAAAAGTTGATATGTCTGTTTTACTTTATGCAAAGAATGTGTGAATAAGAATTGAGCTACCTAATTTCTTGTCAGTCATCTCATCTAAAGGTCAGTCAAATTCTGTATAAATTCTTCTTTTCATATTTCTTTCAATTAATAATAATAATAATAATAATAATAATAATATTATTATTATTATTATTATTATTATTATTATTGTTATTTTTATTCAGTGGAGTGAGCTTAATTGATTGCCAAAATTATAAGTAACTTTAATTTCGTATTATGGTTGCTCAGACATGTGGTTCGATGTTCGATGATCGATGAATCCCCAAGCATTGAGTGGCACGATTCATGTTGAAAGCCAATTATATTTAAGTACAGTGTGTGTTAGTGATTTCATATTGTTGGGAGTATTTTTGTATTCCAATTTGTGATTACTTTCTTTGGTATCGTAGTCAAGGACTCAAAGGCTTGTTTATCGGTTTTTATGTACTGCTTTATTTGTCTTAGCAGTGTGGATTTGCTTGTGAAGGTAAAACACTCATTTTGGTGACTAAAATTAAATTACTACTGACTCTTTATATGTCCCATACATTTCGTTATTCAATTGTATTAATTAGTTTTCAAACCATTTATTGTTTATGCCTATCAACACAATGAGGTTAGGGTTGCATTCAAGTGAGAACCCTTCCTTGATAGGAACATAAGAACTAATCTAATCCATCTAAATTTTCTTAATTAATGGTCAAAATAATCTAACATTTTAATATGCATCTCAAATATAATTAATTAGAAAAAATAGTAGTGTACTTTTAACCCGCTATCAATTAAAAGGGAATATTTTATTTGGATTCTTTCCATGATTTTAAGATTTTAAAAATAATAAAAAAAGTGGCTTGTTTAAAACTTTGGGAGCTGGCTTCCTGGAAAAGTTTGATCGACCAAAGAAAAAATGGCAACTTTTCTAGAGAGCCATCATCACTTTTCCAATATATGAACCAAAAGGAATCATCAATTTTCCAAGTCATTAAGACATTAACCAATTGGAAATGCCATATATATTTGTATAGTCAGAACAATGTTTCATATACAGGCTCTGTTTGGCAACACTAAGCTAGGAGCTTATAACTTATTTTAAGCTACTAATAAGCTATAAGCTCTGTTTGGTAATGTTCCCAAAATAAGCTCATAGCTTAAAATAAGAGCTTATTTTGGAACGCTACTTTAGGTAGCGTTTCAAAATAAGCTACTAGCTTTCTAACTTTTTTTCCATCTTTACCCTTATTATTTTAAAGTAATGACATATTTTAACCTTATGAATTAAAACTCTTTCTCTTCTCCTATCCCAACTTTCACGTCAATCCCTTCCTTTGTCTTGTTTCCTACTAAACAATTATGTTGAAACTTTAGCTTATTATTATTATTATTATTATTATTATTATTGTTATTATTATTATTATTACTGTTATTACTGTTGTTGTTGTTGTTATTATTATTATTATTATTATTATTATTATTATTATTATTATTATTATTAATGTTATTTTTAAATTAGCAATATGGCTTCAATTTCAATTTGAACAAGAGCCGCCAACTAATGCTCAAGAAGCATTCAATCGTGCACATTCTTCTCTTCGAAGTTGTATTGAGAGATCGTTTGGAGTATTGAACAAGAGATGGAAGATACTTGCTAAAATGCCGCAATTTAGTGAGGAGACCCAAATTGATGTTATTATGGCCACATTTGCACTACATAATTATATTCGGAAGAATTCACAAGATGACATGATATTTAATGTTCTTGAGCAACATCCAGATTACAGACCGCCCGATGAACTTCAAGATTCAAGTAGTAATATCTCCATTAACGAAAATTTAAGTCACACCTCTAGAGAGATGAAGGAGATTCACAATAATATTGCTACTTCATTATGGGATGCTAGATCATGATCATGCTAATAGTTTTATTTTAAAAAGTGTTTACTTTTTTTTGGAAGACGAAATGTTAAATTTTAATATGTAAACAAACTAATTTAAATTTTATGAAGATGTCCTTTTTAGTCTTTTTACATTTATCAGCTTATCAAAAAGCTAAATTTACCAAACACTTTCAATCATAACAGCTAGCTTAGCAGCTCTTCAATTTTCAGCTCCGAGCTTATAGCTTTTCAGCTTTCAGCTCCTTTTCAGCTATCAGCTCCTAGCTTATAGCTTTTCAGCTAGGTTTGCCAAACAGAGCCACAATATACGAAATAATTTCAACCGTTCAAAATATAATAACTTATTTTTCTGTAAAAAAATGTAGAATGTCCATCTAAATTGATCAACATGTGAAAAATAATCTAAAAGAAAAGTGTAGTGTCATTTTCATAATTAAATTATGGGTAAGGACAAGTATAACTACCCACCGAAGACTTAATTAGTAAGACTTTTCAAAGAGCTTTTATATAATGTCTAATCGGAATGCAGAAAAGATGCATGCATGTGAAAGAAGACTAATGAGAGGTAGGGTCCAATTCTCCAATTCACAATCAATGTGAAAGAGCAACTGGAGCAAGTTGTAGCAACCAGACAAATGATGATTTGCACCTCGATCTCACATATCGCCATTCAGATCTTATTGTATCTACTCTAATAAGTATCTCGACGAATTTTCACCTCTCACATATCACTTGCATATATAGTTGTCATCACTATGAGAGAGAGATCGAAGAGAGCAATGACAATAGTGTTGTCCATTTCCTAACATTGTTGCATATTTGCATAACTATTGGTGCGGTCGCACTTAAACTCGCCTTGGATCCTTGGTATTAGCTATTCCCATGCTCTTGGGAATAGTTTTTACATCACAAATACCAAAAATACCTTTTGTACATTATTTAATACGGAGTATTTATATTTAATAAATATAAGGTATTATATGAATATATATATATATATTTAATTAAATATAATTTTTATCTATCAATAATAATTATTTATACCACTGATAATTAATGAATCATGAGTGACACAGATAATTAACATATTTGTGAATGACATAAATTACATTTTTTTCTTCTTTACAAGGTAGTACCACTGATATTCGATCATGTGAATTGTGATCACTATTTATAATAATATAATAGAGATGACATCAAATTAAATGGTAGTTGGCATCGCTGTATCGGAACGTGACGAACTTGATAATACAGCTGGTTTTTACGGAGTAATAATTATTTACTCTTCTTTTTAAGAATTCACATCTTATCCACCCTTATATCCCGAAGAATTTGCACCTGTCAAACTTGCATAATTGAGTTTCCTATTTCTTCATTTAGAGAGAGAGAGAGAGACATCACTGAAAGAGTGAGAGTAATGACGGACGGAGCGGTTGGGGAACTGGTATCTCAGGGGATAAACTCGTTGGTTCAAATTGTGTCGGACAATGTGAGGCTGGTTCGTGGCATAGATTCCGAGATAAAGGATCTCACCTTCGACATCCAAATGTTCAACGCCAGGCTCATGGAAGCTTCCAAGAACCCAAGGGCCAATGACTACCAAGTTTTGAGACTAATAGTGAATAGATTTCGAAGCGTTGTGAATGAAGCCGAGGATACGATTGCGGACTACATTGTACGGAAGAAGAAGCATGGGAACAATGCCTTCTCAAAATCTTTGGATAAGATTCCACTTTGTGGAAAGGTGAATGCCTATGCGAGCGAGATCCAATCCATTAGGACAAAGATGAATGCAATTCGACAAGACCACGAAAAAGAACTTCAAGACCTCATACAGTACGAAATCAAAGACCAGGATAAGGCTCTGAAAACTTCCCACCAGGTACGTAGTACGTACCACAACAACTACTCCAAATTAATTTATGGAGTTAATACTCAATATAATCATCGATTATAATAGTTTTTCTTGATTTAGTTTTAAAGACTTTGATGGTTTTTACTCAATTGAGTTTCCTGTTGAGATACATTGGTATTTCGCCTGTATTAATATCTAATTTAGTCATCGACTATAGTCGTTTTACTCAAGTTAATTAGTCTACGACTATAGTGATTTTACCCAATTTAATCCTTGATTATACTATTTTTTTTTTAGTCCTTGAATTTAACAACTGAGGACTCAAATGAGTAAAACCATCAAAGTCGATGATCTAATTAAGTACAAAAAGTCGTTTAGGATTAAATCAAAAAAAATTACAAAAAGTTAAACATTATTCACATTATGAAAATTAAAATTTAAATTTGAACTCTACACTAAGTTTTAGATTTTGATTGAACTCAATAAATCGATTATAACGAAATATATATATATATATATATATATATATATATATATATATATATATATATATATATATATATATATATATATATAATTCAAAGAATTAACTCCGTAACAGCAGAATTAAAAACCCAACAGTCACAACAGGACATGTTCGTGCAAGTCGAAACTTCCAGTTTCGAAGGTTTCGGCCCCAAGGCCAAGACTCTAAAGGAAAATAATGGTATATATAGTGGGGCAAAAAAAGGGGCAAAATAGACAATTTTTCGCACCAGAAAATCGCAGATCTAGGGCTTCTTGATGCATCAAGCCATTAAAACGTGAAAACAGGACCATTATGCCTCTTCTCGATGCATCGAGAGTCCTCCTACGACACAAGTTCTGTTTGTAGGTTAATTTTGACCCTTTTTTCCTTTTGATATAGATTTTTATGTCTTCATAAGAGTTGTATCCCTTTACGTCTTCTTTCCAATGGCGCAAGAATCACCTCATTTGGATATTCCTAGGCGGAGATATGGTCTAAATACCGAACAGTGACCAATCTGTGCGAGAATTTTTACTTCTTGCTCTTTTGCTCTACTTTTTCCTTGGTTTGCCCATGTGATCAAAACCATTGAAGACACCACTCTTTGGCTTCATTTGAAGTATTTTAGCCACCTCCTTAGCTTCACATTGGCTCCCATTAACCTGATATTCATTCAAAATGCCCCGGAAGGCATATGATTGTCTTCAATTCAATGGTTCATGCACCTAAGGGTATAAACAAATGAATTAAGGCACATTTTGATAAAACCAAAGTATCTTTCACTCAAAATGGGTTTATATATGTGGTAAAAATATGGACATGAACACACTTATCAATCACCATAGATTGGGAACCGAAGAGGCAGCTCAAGCACCCAATGTTGTCGGTGTAGTTGGTCCTTCAGAGGTGACGCGACAGCGCACAATGTAGGTGAGGCTGAGCAGTACGGCAAAGGCGATGCTGGGCATTGTGATTACTTGTGAAATTCTTACGTATTGCTTTTACTATTGTAGACGATTTGGAGATTAGGGGATTATGATTTCTTTTGAGCTGGTATTTATAGACAGAAATAATGAAATGAAAGCCAAAATTACATGAACAAGGTAAAATTAATGGTGAAATTTCGGCTGAGGCGAGGCCGAGCATTGGCAAATTAAAGGAGGAAGAAATTGGGAAAAATATTAAGTGGGGTGTGAAATTCACAAAATATCTATGACTTGAACAGTTGTTAATAGGAAATATCACAGAATGACTAAATTGGCTAAAGTTAAAAAGATTGAAGGATTAAATTTGTTCAAATTGAAAATCAGAGACTACATTGCATATCTGTTAATAATTGAGAGACCAAAAGTTTGATTTCCCCTACTAAAAATGTTCTCAATGATTACTGACCATAATTGAGTAAGAACCAATGGGATGGTCTAGCATACTTAGCTTAAAGCATCCCTACTAGCAGATCTTTCCAAGTTTTTGGTACAGTATATGCTTAGATGGAGGAAAGAGAAATTTTAGTATGCTCTGCAAGGGTAAGTTTTTAAAACAGTGTAAAATGACACAAAACAGCCAAACTGTGCGCGTTTCGCGCACAGCTACGCCCCGATTGGAGCGTAGCTGTCAACTTAAATTTTTTTTTTCTTTATCTTCTTTTTTGTCAGATTGATCCTTATTTTGTTTTCTTTTTCGATTTCTTTCTTTAATTTTTTACTCCACTCTCTTTTTCTCCTAAGGTAACATAAATAACCTTGCAAGAGTTTATGTGATATGGATGCTCTTAGCAAGTATAATTGTCAGATTCAACTGGTGTAATTGGTCATCTATACCGTACATGCATTTTGAAATTATTTTCCTGATAGGGCATATCAATTCCACATTAAGATATGAATGATGCTATATTTCTCTCTTCGGCAATAAAACTCTTTATATTAATTAGTTATCCATGAATTGACTGACCTCAACGAGTTGGAAAAAGAATCTATTTATTAATTAAATAAAAAATAATAATTTATGTTCCTCCCATATAAGTCAATTATCAATGTCACCCCTGAATTATTAGTGGTGGAAATATTGACTCTTAATTTTTAAAACGGTACATATATTGTCCCCATATAGTGGAAATGTTGTCTCTCAATTTTCAAAATGGTACATATATTGCGATTCCCGTACCGTACGGGGGGGCAATATATGTACAATTTTGACAATTGAGGGGCAATGATGCGTAGTATATTTGCAAACAAATAATTCTCGGATTACGAGTTATCGATCCACAGGAAAGTGGTTGTATCAAGCACTAGTTACTAATTCATTCATTAGAGCTAATCCTAACAATTGTTTAGATGATTGATTTACATAAAATAAATAAAATAAAACAGAGATTCAGGATTTTGAAAACAATAAGAGAGAATATGAGATTCCTAGGATTCAAGTATTTAATCACCTAGTGCCAAATCTTAAGGACAATATTAAAATTTGGGTTTAACAAGTGTGAGGATGCAAGGTGGTATAGAGCTACTCTCGTAGTCACTAACACTAGTGAATTTCCACTCTCATGGCTTAAACACCCAATAAAACAAGATCAAACATCATAAATTCCTAACTACTACCATCTCTCGATGCGCAATAATCAAGAATTAAATCCCCCTAATAAATTAGCATTTCTCAAGGTGCAACAATTAGGTGTAATTGTGTGTGCTCAAAGTTATACCCAAGCAGTGTGCTCAAGTAATGACGCGTAAGGACATCAATATTAAAAGAAAAATTTAGGAAGGAAGTGCGGATTACACCCATTGCTCTTAAAATATGTTATATAAATGGGCTTATGGGCACACTCCTTTTGCTTAAATTTAGAATTTGTTGAAAGATAGTTTGAACATTAGAAGGGTAGGTATTATACTAATGATTTGTGATTTGCAAATGAATTTAAATCTTCGTTATTATGTTCTATTGTTCTTAGCACTTGATTAGTAATGCTTTTATTTTATTTTATTTATTTATTTTATCCATTTTTTTTTTCTTTAAACGTCCAGGCTCGACCAACAGTGGAGAAAAATGAGACATTCGGCTTTGAAAAAGATTTAGAAGACATGAAGGCTCGTTTGTTAGAGGCATCCGATAATTATATTGTGATCCCAATTGTTGGGATGCCTGGTACCGGAAAAACTGCATTTGCCTCAATGCTTTTTAACGACCTAAGCATTCTCAACAATTATTCGGTTCGCATTTGGGTTCCTGTTTCAAAATGGTGTGATATAAAACAGAAATTCATCAGCATCATTCATCAAATCACCAAGAGTACCACCAAAGACTTAATCACCGAGAAGGAAGAAATTCTGAAAGATACCATTCAGACCCGTTTAAAGGATCAAAAATACTTCATTATATTGGATGATGTATGGAGAAAAGAAGATTGGGATTCATTACAAACTGCATTCCCTAAAAACATGAATGGAAGTAGAGTCGTGGTGACTACTCGACATGACAATGTAGTTGATTCTACCTGCTGGAAATCTCATAATTTAGGAATGTTGAGTGATGATAATGGTTGGTTGCTTATAAAAAATAATGTTTTTGGTACAGAGGGATGCAGTGACAAGAAATTAGAAGTTATTGGGATCCAAATAGCAAGAAAATGCCAGGGATTACCACTTGCTCTAGTAGTGGTAGCTGGTATCATACGAAAATGCATAACTTCTACGGACTGGCAACGAGTGGCTGATTATCCGCTTCTAGAAATCAACCGAGAAGACCAAAGTTACCATGAGATCGTTAAGATGAGCTACAATGATCTGCCTCATGAGAAGTTGAAAAATTGTTTCCTGTATTTTGCATATTTTCCCATGGGGCATGAGATTGCTATATGGAAGTTGGTTTGTTTGTGGATTGCTGAAGGATTCATTCCAACAGTAAATGAGTGGGAATACCCTATTGATGCCGAAGTTGAAGCTCAAAAATATTTGAATATTCTTGTTGATAGAAATCTTGTGACGTTGATCAAAAGAAGAGCAGACGGTCAAATCAAAACATGCCGGATCCATGACACATTGCATGAGTTCTGCAAAAGTGAAGCTCGAAGGAAAAATTTATTCCTTGTAATGGATAAGGAGCAAAGCAGGTTAGATGAGAATACTTGTTCAGCTCGTCGTCTTTGTTTTCACTCTTTTACTACAGACACATCTGATGACGAAAATAAATCATCTTGCTGCTTCCTCAATTGGGATGATCAAATGAGGAGTTTATTTTCTCCATTTGGCAAACGTATCCATTCTTTGTTTCTGTCTTCCCCACAAAAGAGTGATGAGGTTCCTCTTACACGAGATGGATTAGCAGCCATCCCAAATATTTTTCCTCTTCTTAGGGTGTTGAATATTGAATACATTAAGTTTAACAATGGCTCGTTGCCAAATGAGGTTTATAGGTTATATCTTCTCAAATATATTGCTATCTCAGGCAATCTCAACCTCCTCCCAAAATCATTCAAAAATCTGGTTGAATTGGAGACTTTGGTGATCAAAACCACAGAAAGGACACTACAAATTGAAGGAGGCATATGGAACATGGAAAAGTTAAGGCATGTACGCACCAACACCTCTGCGCAATTACCCTTTCCTCCCAAAACAAGCAAAGCTAACTCTGGAGGAAAAAATATCCTCACACTTTCAACAATATCACCAAAAAGCTGCACAAAACAGATCTTTAGAAGAACTCCCAATCTCCAAAAATTGGGTGTTTGTGGGAATTTATCCCAACTTCTAGAGGGAAAGCAAGAAACTTGCCTGTTCAACAATCTTCAATTGCTAAAGTGCCTGGTAAATTTGAAACTGTATGGCCAGCACGACGAAGGGTTAACAGTCCCAATGCTAGACAAGTTTGCATGTAGGTTAAAAAAGTTGAGCTTCTCCGGCACATGGTTTGAGTGGAAAGACATGAGAGTATTGGGGTTGTTGGAGGAGCTTGAGGTGCTGAAGTTGGATGACTATGCATTCAAGGGGGAAAATTGGGAACTAAGCAATGATGTTGTTTTCAAAAGACTTCAATATTTGCGCATAGGAAGGATGAAACTAGAAACTTGGACGGCCACAGAGAATAACTTCCCAACTTTAAGAAGTCTAATCCTAAGCTGTAGCACCCTAAAAAAAATTCCAGAAGCTTTTGCTAAGGTACATACCCTTAAAGTAATGGTATTATTTAACGTGAGTGAAAGTGCAACTCAGTCCGCGAAAGGGGTAAGAGAAAGCATAAAAAGCGGTGGATTCAAGCTCAACATAACCGCTGTAAAGGTAATTGTTTTTCTTCCCAATTTGTTATTTTAGCAGGAGGAGCTTCTAATACGCCATACAAGAAAAGTTACAATTAATTCATTGACTTCTTGTAAAAGTCTATGGCCCTGTTTGGTAAAATGGCTGTTAGCTGATAGCTGTTAGCTGTTAGTTTATTGTGTTAATTAGATGGTATAAATAGTTGATAACGTTAGCTGATTGTTGAAAAGTGTTTGGTAAATTAGCTGTTAGTTGATAGCTGTTTGGTATAATTTCTTTTCTCAAAAAGCTAATTGAAAAAGTTGCTTGGAGTAGCTTTTTGAATTTTAGCCTTTTGAAGTTGCAAAAAGCTAATTAACAAAATATTTATATTGATATTTTAACTAAATCAAACAATTTATAGTGGTCAAATAAGCCAAAATTGACCCATAGGCCAATTTTTTACCAAACAGGGCCTATGAAATCAAGACTAATTGGGTTGAAACAGAAGATCAATTTTAAACATTCAAAAAAAAAAAGATCAATTTTAAACTTTTAAAATACCCTTGTGATATAGGTGTTTGCTAAACCTAAAATAGTTTTAAATTTTCATTCCCAAAGTCCCCATAGGATTTGCCAATAGGTCACTTCTGTTGGAAGTGAAACTTATAATTTTGTAGTTAGCAAATCTAAAGTCTGACCAATTTAACTAGAATTTCCTCACATATAATTACTAGTTAATATAGAACCAATAATGTAGTTCACTATTAATTAGGTGTGAGTTCATAAGATCTAGGATATGATTCCACGAAATCAAGAAATCTTAATTATCAAAAAAAAGTATTAAAAGAAAGATTTTCAATTAAAATAAATAAAGAAATAAAATTTACCACTTTGAAATATTATTCGATCTTCTATTGAATCATTCTACTAGGTATGGTTATGTTGGTGGGATCAGAGCATTAGACTTTATTTTTTGAAAATTTTTTATGATGCTTCATTAAAAATAGGCCGAAATAATATCTGGTGGGTGCAGATCCCAATACATAATTGTAGTTTGCTGATAAGCCGTAGTAGCTAAAGCATGAGTTAAATGGTTCTCTACTCTAGGAATAAAATAAAACGAACAAGACTGAAACGAAGATGTAATAAGCCTGCAAGTGTCAATGGCATAGCCTAGATATGTGCGCAGCACAATAGTTGGTGTAGTAAGATAGTGATGTAGTGTCAAGCAGTCCGTAAAGATCTCAACATTCTGTTCTCCCCGATCTTTCAACCACGATAGAGCCTCCTTACATGCGAGCACCTCTGCCATAAGTGGTGAGGAGCATCCTTGTAGTGGTCCACTGAATGCCGAGACATACCCCCCGTCCGAGTCTAGTAACAGTACCCCCAAAGTAGCTTGTCCCGTCTCCTACAAATACCCCCCGTCCACACGGCATATGCGCCTTGGCAGTCCAGGTGGTTCGGCAGCAGTGGAATCTGGCGCATGGAGATTGGCGTTTTCTTGCGACGGATTTGGCGCTGCTAGGAGTGTGGTGGGCAGTGCCGTGTGCTGTTGCGGGTGCGCCCGAGACCAAGCCAGCTTGGCAGCCGCGGCAATTTTGAGGACCGCTTCCGGCCGTGGCAATGTTGCTTCCCATACGGCCCTGTTCCTTGCTCTCCATATATTGTAAAGTATTGCTACTGCATAGAATATCCCATCAGAGTCTAGAACATTTAGAAGTTCATCAAACCAAACATAAAAAATATTTGTGATTATATTTGGAATTGTGAGGTTAGATTTATCCCAAATGTTCTTTGCAAAATCACACAACACCAACGCATGCATTATGTCTTCTTGAAATAATCCACACATGGCACATCTTGGATCCACCTCCACCCTCTTTATAAGCAAGTTTGTAGTAGTGGGCAATATATTACTAACGGCTCTCCATAGAAACATTCTCCATTTTGGGTGGATTTTTAATTTCCATAGGGATAACCACTTTGTAAATATCCCATTAGTGTGTTGATAATTTCCCACCACTTGCTTATACCCACTTTTAACAGTGTACTCTCCTCTTAGATCCCCATGCCAGTACCAAGTATCATCATATTCCGGGGAGATGGGTATTTTCATAATTTCCGCCACATCACTGGGTTGAAATAAATCAGTTAAGATTGAGGGATCCCAGGCACCAGTTTGCTGATCTATCAAACCTGCCACCTTAATTGGCTTCCTTCAACTGTACTGGCATTTCTGTTCGTATCATTGGGTCATGGTCATTTCGTAGCCAAGGGTGGGTCCATATGAATGTGGATTCCCCATTACCAATTCTGCGCCTGACCCCACCACAAATAATACTCTTTGCTGTCATGATGCTCCGCCAGCAGAAACTGGGATTATTTCCCATCTGTGCATCAAAGAACGATCCTTTCGGAAAATACCGGGCTTTATATACGCGTGCTACTAGAGAGTCAGGCTTAATCAACATTCTCCACGCCTGCTTTCCTAGCATCGCTAGATTAAATGCTCGCAAATCTTTAAATCCTAGCACACCATATTTCTTTGGTACACATAGCTTATCCCATGCCTTCCAGTGTATTCGCCTGTCAGTTCCAGAATCCCACCAGTAACGATTCATCGTTCTTTCTATCGCCGTACACACTGATACAGGTAACAAGAAAACACTCATTGAAAACGTTGGCATAGATTGTGCTACAGTTTTCAAAAGAATTTTTTTCCCTGCCTGTGATAGCAGCTTTTTATTCCATGATCCAATCCTTTGACGAATTTTATCTTCCACATACGCAAAATCTGCTTTTTTGTGCCTTCCAATAAAAGAGGGGAGTCCCAAATACTTGCCATAATTCGGTGCCTGTGCCACACCCAAAATCTGACCCACATCTTGTCTATCTTCCTCACTAGTATTTCTGCTATAACATATACTCGACTTGTGGTAATTTACTGCCTGCCCGGATAAACTCTCATAAACAGACAGACACCTTTTAACCTGAGTTGCTTCCTCCACCTTAGCCTTAAAAAACAGTAAACTATCATCTGCAAAAAATAAGTGAGAAATCGGGGGGCTCCTCTTGCTACCCTGCAGCCATGTATCGATCCCACAGTATGTGCCTGCTGCAACATCAAAGATAGACCCTCTGCACAAATAATAAATAGATGTGGGGACAAGGGATCCCCTTGCCTTATTCCACGAGTGGGTATAATAGGATCACATCTTACTCCATTCACCTTAATATTATATGAGACAGAGGTTACACACTTCATAATCAACTCCACCCAACCAGCATGAAATCCCAGCGCTAACATCATCCTTCGTAAGAAAGGACATTCAACCCGATCATATGCCTTTGCCATGTCTAATTTAAGGGCACTCCATCCCCCCACTCCACATTGTTTCCTATTCAAAAAATGTCCCACCTCTGCAGCTAATAGTATATTATCCGTTATCAATCTATCCGGGATAAATGCGCTTTGTGACTCAGATATTACCCCTTCCATTAACGGCTTCATTCTATTAGCCAACATTTTTGCCATAACTCTATAGACCACATTACTGAGGACTATAGGCCGCAAATCAGTGACATACTCTGGGGTTTTCTTCTTAGGGATTAGAACAATATCAGTCTCAGTCAACCCAGGCGGGAAATCACAGGACTCAACACAATTAACTATAAAGCTCGCCACATCTCCCCCAACCACATCCCAAAAATGTTGGTAAAATCCTGGATTCATTCCATCCGGACCTGGTGCCTTGTCCGGAAACATCGCAAACAGTGCACTCTTAACCTCATCCGGTTCAAACGGACGCAACAAAGACTCATTCTGTGCCTGCGTGATTCGCGGGACAATTCCCTCAAAGAAATCCTCCCCAGTTCCCGGGGTTCCAGCAGAGAAAATACGACTATAATATTGCAGAATAATATTTTTCATAGGCTCCCCCTCAACCCAATCCCCATTATCATTCATCAATCTAGAAATAGTATTCTTCTTTTTTCGGTGAGAGGCATACCTGTGGAAAAACTTCGTATTAGCGTCAGCCTCCTTAAGCCAGTGTTGCTTGGCTCTCTGTCTCCAGTATGTATCCTCCTGAACTTCTGCACAGCTTAACAGCTGTTCTAGGCGCTGAAACTCAGCTAGGGAGGCCGGGTCAGTACGCCCCCTCAGACGCTGCTGCTCTCTTGTCAATTCCTTAATCTGTTTTCCGTACTTATGGTACCAGTCTCCACCCCATCGTGTTAACCGGGTCCCACAATACTGAATACAGCTCTGCAAACCCTGGCCCCTCCCCTCCTGCCAGGACTGCTCTACCACACTTCTGCACCCCTCATCATGCAACCAGGCCATCTCAAAACGAAAGCCCCTCCTGCGAGGCCCAACACCCCCTCCGGAGTCCTGAATCCCCAGAAAGAGAGCCGAGTGATCAGACTTCCGAGTTCTCAGATTCAGCACCTTAGCCCCCATCACCATACCCCGCCACTCGTCCGTTACTAGAACTTTATCGAGCCTCTCCTCCATCCAGTTTGCTGTCCCCTTCCCCTTCTCCCATGTGTATGGATAGCCAACCATAGGCAGTTGCGCAAGCCCACAGTCCTCAATAGCTTCCCCAAAGCCACGTAGGAGGCTATTCGGATGCAGATTTCCCCCTCTCTTCTCATTCTAATATAACAAATCATTAAAATCTCCAATAACAACCCAGGGGAGGTTTGACCTACCCGACAGCGTTCTCAAAAGATCCCATGACTCCGCACGTCGTGTTCGTTCAGAAAATCCATAATAACCCGTCATCCGACATTCAGGAAGGCCAGGAATAGTTACCCCAACATCAACGTAGTTCGTTGAGTAACTGATTAGCCGAGCCGTACTATTCTTCTTCCACAGTAGGGCAATTCCACCACTTAGCCCATCACTGTCAACATAAAAGAGTCCTTCGTAACCAATTTTAACACGTAACCGCTCTGCATGATCATGTGCCACCTTAGTCTCCATTAGAAATACAAAGTCGGGTTGCTTTCGGGACACCATGTCCACAATCTCCCGAACTGTCCGTGGATTACCCAAGCCACGGCAGTTCCAACTTAAAGTACTCATTGACTCGGGCATGTCTGGGAACCAGAGCCCACCTGCTGCAAGTTTTTTGGAATCTCAGTCATGACAATATCACATCCATCGGACCTACGTCCCTCCCCATCCACTTCCCCCCGGCGACGCTTGGCTACCGCCACCACATCCGGCTCAACCACCCCCTTGGTCCGGTTCCCACCTTGCGAACCCCCATCCACAACTGCTCGATCAGCTGGCGGTTTCCTTCCCACGGCATGCCGACCCGTCGGCAACAACCAGCTGCCCCCCACCGGCCTAGGGCCACGGCTCCCTCCTGCCCGTAGCTCCGGGCCATACAAGTACTCCTCCACCTGCATCTTCGAGTCCCTTGCCCCCCGACAAAACTGATACGAGTGGCCTAACATCCCGCAAAAATAGCAATATGTATGAAGGCGTTCATACTTAAACATGACCCAGCAATTCGTCTTATCCCGCTTAATGAAATTCATTCGTCTCTTCAAGGGTTTATCAACTGGCAACGAAATCCTAATACGGTGATATGTCTTCCACGGGGCGTTATCAAAACGATCATCATATTTCACAAACGTACCCAAGAAATTTCCAATCTGCTCCAAAATTCTACTAGATGAGTATCCATTCGGCAGCCCATGTAGTTGAACCCATAAATCCACCGTATCCAGCACTACATCGACCGGCATAACTCCGTCAGGGACCTGCTTACACACCAGCGTACTATTATCAAAAGACCAGGGCCCCTCGTTCAAAACCCGTTCCATGTCCGTTACATGATGAAAAACAAACAGGAACCGGCCAGGCTCAACCTCCGTTGCCTCAACCCCGCTCACGGGCTGCCATACCGATGCCAGGACCTGACTCATAAATTCCAACCTGACTAGCTTTCGTGTCAAGAATCTTCCCACCACCCCCCAACTCTCCTCCACCTCGCCGCCCCCCTCCTCGGCACTGTCCCCTTCATTCGGCAGAAACGCCGTGGCCTCCTCCTGGAGCACCATATCAGCCCATCTATCCGTCAAAATAGCCACATCCGGATCGGTCGGCGGCGTAGCCATCTCGCATGCAGAGATTAAACGTCGATTGTTGTTGTTGTCGAAGCCGAAATTCGTCCGTGGAAAACGTCGAAGGAACGACCAGAATACCTAGAAACCCTAGGTAGAGAGAAAACAATTTTCCTCTTACAAATTTAATTGAATTAAAATCAAATTTTCTAATTTATTTCCGTGTGAACCTTATTTGCATTAGACTTTATTAATTACTGTAAGACCAATTTTTGTTACTTAGAGTATAAGAGCTTATTGGTTAATGGTTATTGTATTAAACTCTAATATATATTTATACATTTTTATTTATGATTAATTTATCTAGTTAGTATTATTGTATTTTTATGTATTATAATTATTATTAGCATTATTAAAATAATTAATATTTTATAAAAAATAAATTTGAAATAGATTTTTATTAATTTTTTAAAATAAAACACACACACACACACACACACACACACACACACACACACACACACACACACACACACACACACACACACACATATATATATATATATATATATATATATATATATATATATATATATATATATATATATATATAAAATAATTTTTAGCTAAACATACTAGAATGGCTTGATGACCTTTGTATGCTTTAATTTGTTTATTTAATTTGCAGCAAAAGGTAGTGATTGGCACCTCTATGAAGGATCAGAAGGCTCGTGCCAAGGCCATGAAGATTGCCATCAGCTTCCCAGGTAGCTATTCAGGCAACCATCTCACAATTTTCCGGCCGGCAGTCAGTAATATTCATTAAATCAATCTGAATTTTCAATCTAATGGGAAGTTTTGGTTGTTTCCAGGAGTTGAATCCGTATCTGTTCACGCGGAGAGGGGATACTTAGAGGTGATCGGCGACGTCGACGCAGTGGCTGTGGTCAACAGGCTGAGGAAAATGTTGGGGCAGGCGGAAATTATACGCGTTGGCCCGTTTGAGAAAAAGGAGGAGAAGAAGGCGGAGACACCAACACCACAAATCTATAGATTCGACCACCCCAGCACCTCTACTTCATCACAAGAAATTGTAAGTATATTGTCCTGGTCTTTTCAACGTACCATATAACATAATCTTTAGAGAGATTTTGAATTCCAAAGTGCCTATATATAAAATTAGTTGTAAATTCTATTAGATTGATGTTTTGTGGTGAGAAAAAATAAGAAATATATATGTCAGCAGAAGTTACAAAATATTAATAATTTAACAAATAAATAATCATGAATTACTAGAAAATTTGTTCATGTTTTCTTTTCGAAAGACTACCTTTATTTTGATTTAAGTGAAAGATAGGAGAAGAATTTAGAAAATCTTTCTTTCAATATATTATTCCTACAGCTAAATAAGAAAGTATATGGAAAGGAAAGGAAATTAAATTACTGATTGGATACAAGTTCTTACAATCGTTATGCCATGGAACCGTGTTCACCATACAGGGTGAACACGGTCCCAGCCAAGCGGTAACGGTGCCCGTAAGTGACACCATTATTTTCCACCAATCTTTTTTTTTTTCTTTTTCTTAATTAACGGCGCGACTTTTCTTCTTCATTTTCACATTTCGCGATTTCACTTTCTCTT